AAATTTTATTTTTTGGCCATCAGACCCCCTTCTTGAATCAGGCATGTATTACTGTACAATTAAAAGCAGCCTTGCTGAGAAGAGACTTCTTTTAAAACATTAGAAAATATTACAGATCCTATTTTGAACACTTTGTGTGAATGTTATAATAAATGTACTAACAGAGCTGTTGTAATGATTATTATCATTATTATTGTCTTACTTTTTATTTTATTTTACAGAACAACAGTAAAATTGCAATACTAACATTTATGAATGTTGATAGAGTTCTTGCTTTTTCTCAACTTTTATTTTGTCGAAAACGCGCAGGAAGAGCTCAGTGCTTCTTTTTGTTGACAACAGCAGATTTATAAATAAGTCTCATTACGAATACATCCCACGTATCGCATTGTCACGTGCCTTGTAAAAATTCATAAAAATGTGACTGAGCAACTGACGAGTAACACTGGTTCAGCACAGATTTTCCTTGCGCTTTGGACTTTGAACTAGTGGTCGACCGATATGGGTTTTTTGACAGCCGATGCCGATATCTTGGAAATCAGGGTGGCCGATATAAAGCCGATATAATTTTATTTATTTTAATTTATATTTAAGAAATTTGAAATCATTTGAAAATGGATTAAAAATAATTCCTCCTGTCGGCATTCAATTTGCACGGACCGACGGTCACGCAGAGAACACGCGATCATGCAGGATACAAGTGCACACTTCACAGGATCTCAACTAGATTCCACTAAGTCTGCAAGATTTGTGAACTTAAATGTTCATTAGTCATTCAAAGATTTTGTTTAAATGATATAAATGCGTATTTGCTGAATGCTGACGGCAAACAAGAAAGTATTATAATGCAAATGCCGATATTTGAAAAATTCCAAATATCGGCCTTGGAGATATATCGGTCGACCACTGCTTTGAACCCTGGTTAACAAGCAGATAGCGCGGCGAGTTCGTGCAGCGCTGTCAGAATACATATGATGCGTGCGTGTATTAGAAAACATAACGTTCTGCAGTTTATTTACTAATTGTTTAAGGCAGTGGTTCTCAGCCCACGGCCCGTCACGAATTCAAATGCGGCCCACCATGCTGAACACAATTAAAAAAATAACTTTCAGTTTTACAATTCATTTTAGTTTTTACATTAATTTAAAAA